CTTTAAACAAGGTTCTTCATGGGGTACATATGCAAGTAAGCTAAGAAGTAAAAAAAATTGTTAAATTTAAGATTTGGGAATAATTTTTAAATGAAAGGAACTAAAGCCCAAACTTTAGTCTCATGGAAGTTAAATCTGATATATAGATCACTCAAGGGTGTGCAGCTTTGATCAAAATCTTTGTGTCATGAAAAATATATTTACTGCAGTTGCACTGCAGAAAAGTTTAACAGTGACCATTTGCTCTACTCCACAGCAGAATTTATTTCATTGATCTAAGCTGCTTTACACTGGATTAGGATTTGATCCAGTATATTTTGAAAAGCAACAGAAAGAACTGTGGGACTGTGAACACCAAAGAGGTGGGTGCCCCTTCCTTGACTTTGCCTGAGCCAGTTACACTGTGAAATCTGCTTTCAAACTTACTGAAAGTAATGGTTGTGTAAACAACAGAGCTTCATCATCAAAAGTAGGGTGCTTTAGCAACATCGTGAGTTAGACTAAATTCCTAAAAATAGACATTCAGTGATACCTTCATGTTAGTGTTTGAGTGCTTAGCTGATACTGAGTGTTTATGAGGACCCAGCAGAACTCAAAAGAGGATTCTAGCAGTTCACATGTTCAAGAGCTATTTCGGGTTAAACTGCTACTAAAACAACATCTAACAGATGATAGTAAATAAATATCTCTTTTCCTGTAAATCAGTCCTTGGGACACTTCTGGTCTGCTTCTGAAGAATCCACATAAAGTAATTAAGGAGAGTAAATCTATTGCCAGTCAACTTTGATTTGCTCTGTAAGGATCACTGCCTATCTTGGAAAATGGTTAAGACCCTTCAAATAGATATAAGGTGAGAATTGCTATTACAAAACCCTTCTGCAATTGTGGGGTTTTTTTTGCTTCTTATGCCTTCTGTTGTGCTGAAATAGCAATCAAACAGGAAGTCAGTTTTACGCTGTAATTATCAAGACAAAGAACAATTGCTACAAGGTGTGACTTACAAAAGCAAACAACTTTTAATTAGGGATGGAAGTTTCATAAAGCATGAGAATACTTCTGTTAACATTGGCTATATTGTTAATATCAGATATTTTCAAATAATAAGCCACTGCGTTTCTGAAGGATTTGCTTTTCTCCTAAACACTGCAGATTATTAGAACCACATTGTTGTTCATAACAGCCTAAGTGTACAACTATAGACATCTTGTACTCTCAGTTCACCTCACTGAAATCAATGAAACAATCATGTTGGATGAAATTCATCTCTGTGCAGATGGACAACTCAAGACCTTGACAATATGACAAAGTATGATTTAAAGACTCTGTATTAGATTTTTCAGTATACAGGGATCACAATTTCCAGCCAATGGGGTACACTGCAATGTTGCAATAGGATATCTCTCTCTTCCTATAATTTTTCTCTATTGCCTTCTCAGATTCTGGACTGTTCTGTAAATTCCCTATATTGACAGTTTGCTAACATCCTTGGTGGTTTTCTTTCATTTCTTACCCTGTTAGACCTCGAACTATTGTAATTGGATGGTAGGCAGGTCTCCAAGTGAGAGGGATGAAAAGGTCTTAAATTACCAGAGCCATTCGTTCTTACCATATATGCTGTATGCACTTCTTTCTTCTAAGGAATTGCTTTCTTTTCATAGCAGTTACATAAGAAAATCTTTTCACATTCAAAGTGATATTTCTTGAGCAGTGACAAAGCAAGGGAGAGACTAACAACCCACAAACATTATATTCCCCAAGACTAAAGAAAACAAAGTTAATTTTCTGTCTGATTTCCTTCCCATATTAACTAATACCTTATTTATATCAATTAAATGAATTCTAAATAAAAAGAGAGTTGATTCCATACCCTAGTTCTGCAAAAGCTCACACCAAAAGTAAAACAGGTATTTGAAATTAGAAGAGAACTGAACGTCTGTTTTCTGCATGACTCTGAAAGCTTTATAACTCTGAGACTGCTGGCTTAGGGGAGGGTAGGAACCTTTGTCTAATCAAGTGGAAAAGAAAAATAAGAATTCCTTAAACCTCTAGTAAAAAGTTTATATTCTTTTTGTCTAAACATCTATTTCTAAGAATCTATGTGCTGTTTTCCAAAGATGTTTTCATTAGAAGACACTACTGCAGATATAAGGTAAGTTATGGTAATACACAAATGCATACAGGTAGAAAAACAGACTTTTGATTGGCAAACACTCATCTGAAGTGATTATTCACTACTTGGATCTAAACGAGATTCTCTTCAAGAAGAATATATTTCAGTAATGATATACAAAAATTAAATATTCAGTGGTCAGATGTTTCACAATTGAAAGGGGTATGAATTGAATGTAACTCCCAAGATTTCTTGAGAACTGTATTCATACGTGTAAAATTAAAAGAGAGTATCCACTTTATTAATAGTATATAAAGGATAGCACCACATTTTTATTTAATTTACTGCTTCCTGATGTAATAAATATAGATGAGCACAGCAAAGTACAGGTTTAAGTAAGAATTGCAGGGTTGTGTTATGCCAGCAGTGCCTAGTGTACAGTTAATCGGAAAGCAGAAGGTAATATAAATTGTTTCTGATATTATGGGACTATAATAACACTACATTTCCAGCAGCTCCATAGCTCTTAGAATTAGAAGTATGTATCCTGGAGATACCACAAACCCAAGAAATATGAAGATATTTCTCCATACTGACTGTTTCCATATTTGTGTCTTAGTTGTGCAATTGTAGTAGCTATGTTATTAGTGCTACAGTCCATGTACAGTTCTGATAGAAGTTGCTGGATTAATTTGCTTCCGCTACCTAAAGTTGAATTAGATTCCAGTAGCGGAGTAATGACTTTTATTTATGAACAAGTTTCCTCTTTGACTCT